AAAAAAAAACAATGGAATCTTGAAATTTGCAGGAAAATGGATGGAACTCGAAGAAACCATTCTGAGCGAGGTAACCCAATCACAAAAAGACAAACATGATATGTACTCACTCATATGTGGATTTTAGACATAGAGTAAAGGATTACCAGCCAACAATCCACACTCCCAGAGAAGCTAATAAACTAGGAGGACCCCAAGAGTGACAAACATTGTCCCCTGGAGAAGGGTAAAGGGCCAAGATCCCCTGAGCAAATTGAGAGCAAGGAAAAGGGGGGAAGGGAGCTACGAGAATGAGAAGGGGAGAAGAAGAAGGATGCAGAGGTCATGAGGGAGCAGAAAGGTTGAGTCAGGTGAAGAATAGAACAAAGGATATGTGATAGGTAGTGTTTTAGTTGGGGGAATGGTAGGGGAGGGCGGGATGGAGAAGGGAACTGGGATTGGCAGGTAAAACAATCTTGTTTCTAATTCAAATAAAAAATCTGAAAATAAAATAAAATGTTTTAATTAAAAAAACTCACTCATGCATACTTAGTGGTCCCTCCATTTCTCTGATTTAGCATCAGCTGCCTTCTTTGACTACCTACTTTTCCATTTTCAGACATTTATTCATTTCTCTCTCCCACAAAAAAAGGAATAGTCATGATAAATCACGTCTTTGATAGGCTCTGAGAAATACAGAGATAAAAAGGGAAGGTGAGTCATGTAGACTTCATGATTTGAAATGACTTAAGAATACAACTTCTGTCTCTGTACATATATCCTAACTGAGCCCAAGTGACTTGTCACTTATTCTTTTGCTTCAGGGCACATGAGACACCACTTCCCTAGCTTGTCCTGATGACAGTGTGGTATAGGATGGGTTTCCTAAAGAAGGCATTATTGATCTTTGATTAGTTACAAGAATTGGGGGCTTTCCTAAACTTTAGAGAACTATAGATCATACAGCAAGACAAGGAAGTTGATTGTAGACTCAAAGGAAGGAACAAGTGGCACATATGGGTAGTCACAAATGATCACACCAGGATCATACGAAACCAAGATGTATGTGTCCTGTTTCTGTCCCCCTATGGTCTCCTTCACCACACTCATAAATATTATACACTTTATAGTTCAAGCTTTCTGCTTGAAAATAAATTTCCAATTTTTCTCCTTGCTGCTTTTATGAACAGCTATGAAGTATTTCAACATATGCTCTTAAAGAGTCTTCACTGGAATTCATTTAATTTCTCTTATAGTACATGGCAAGTTGGTCATCAGTATACCTAGTGTAGGTGGCTTTCATGAATCATTTTTCTCTCTATCCTGCTCCTGCTTTCAAAGATTTGTCCTGTCTCATTTTGTATCAACTTGACACAAGTCATCTGAGAGGAGGGAACCACAATTAAGAAAATGCCTCCATAAGACTATGCTGTAGGCAAGCCTGCAGTGGTTCTCAAGCTATCGCTTTCAACCCCTTTACTAACTTCCTTTTTCCAAAATATTTACATTAAAATTCATAACAGTAGCAAAATTACAGTTTTGAAGGAGCAACAAAAATAATTATATGGTTAGAGGTAACCACAACATATTAAAGGGTTGCAGCATTAGGAAGGTTGAGACCCACTGCTGTAGAGCACTTCTTAGTGATTGATTGGGGAGCTCCCAGAAAATTGTGGTTGTCCTGGGTCCTACAAGAAACAAGCTGAGGAAGCCATGAGGAACAAGTAAGTGAGCAGCACCCTTCCATGTCCTCTGTATCAGCTCCTGCCTCCAGGTTCCTGCTATGTTTCAGTTCCTGTTCAGACTTCCTTCAATGATGAACAGCGATATGGAAGTGTAAGCCAAATAACACCCCCCCCCCAACTTGCTTTTGCTCATGGTGTTTTGTCGTAGAAATAGAAACCCTAACTAAAACAGATCTCTTCCTTGGTGCCTGCTTTCTGAGGAATTAATTCAACCTTATCCCCAGTCCACCTTGCCAACATTTCAACCCCCTGATTGCATTGCCTTCCTCTAAAGGTTAGAGTTTAAAGCGTCTTATCTTGGACTTTGAGGTTATCAGTGTCATCATCTTGGTCTCCTATACCTTCCCCACTCATTCTCAATTTTAATATGAGTTGGCTTGAGACTGCTGGGAAATGCTTGATGTCTACTTCTTTCAAAACAAAATGTTATGATTCATACCACTTTCTTTTTTGTCATATGAATATTCCTAGAACAACCAACTTCAAGCTATGAATGTGACTTC